TAATACTTGTGATCTCCTTCAGAAAAAGCTTTTGGGAAGACGCTCCATTTCTCCTCATGTTTGTATTTTATGTCTCAGCGAGGGTGAATCTGCAGATCACATCCTTCTTCATTGCAGCTTCACTCAAAGGATATGGTCCCATTTCTTGAATATGGCAGGGTACAGCTGGGCTTTTCCATAACACATTATGGACAACTAGAATCAATGGAAAGGAATAGGGCTTAGCAAAAGGGGTAAGTCTTTTGGCAATCAGTGCCTCATGCAGTAATGTGGGGTGTTTGGGATGAAAGAAACACCCGTATCTTTGACAATAAAAGCAGAACCTTGGAGGAGTTAATCTCAGATATTACCTATCTTTGCATCCTTTGGTCGGTGAATTCAGATCTATTTAAAGGACTTTCAGTCAATGATATTATCAGAAATATTCACCCCTTTCTGTTTCTGCCTCATCCTCAGCAAACTCCCTTGAGGCATCCTATTTCCATCAGTGAAGGTGTGATAACCCTTAATTTTGACGGTTGTGCCTTAGGCAATCCGGGCTTTGCAGGTATTGGTGGTATAGTAAGGGACAAAAGGGGCAATATCTGCTGGACTTTTAGTGGCCCAATCAGATGGGCCGACTCCACAAAGGCTGAAGTGATGGCTGCTCTCACCGGAGTCAGGATAATTAAGAATTTGGGTATTCAGAATTTGATCATTGCAGGTGATTCAGCAAATACATTGGCCCTGGGCCTGCCACCCCCCATTGGTTGTGGATGAGCTACCCAAGAATATACAAAGTAGGTCTTATTGCATTTTATTTGCAGGTAACATAATTTCAATTGATAAGACCTGAGTATAGAGTAAAAGCAAAACTAAAAATGCAATAGGACTCCTTATGGTTTAAAGATTTTAAAGCAAACTGAATCAAGTGTAACTGTAGTAAATACAGAAATAGTAAAAAGGGGTTAGTCAAAATTGATACTGAAGAGATCCTTCAAAGGACACTTTTAGTATTTCAATTTAAGTATCTATAAGGAGAAACCAAAGAGAATATACCTCAAAAATAAAGTCATGAAGATATATCTGTTAGGCATGTTGTGCAACAAATGCATACCAAAAGGCAGTGATATTTTTTAATTGCTGCCCACTAAAAGGCCATGATTTAAATAGCAGAAACAAAATAAGTGCAGTCAAATAAGAACAGTGAGATGGATAACTTATAAGAGTAGGAGAATAAATTTAAAAATGAAATGGAATAAGAGGTAGCACCATTTGGTGATGGCATATGGAAAATTATACTCAGAGGATCATTCAAAATGATGACCACTGAATATATGAATGGAAAGTTAGACATTTGGAGCAAGTTGAAAGCACTAAAAGGAAAAAGGGATCACTAGGATCATGGCAAAACTGCAAAAGTACTGGGGGAAATTTTTTCACTCATTCTTTAACAGAGCATATTGCCTTGATAGATCAGACTAAAGAAAGATGAATGGATTTGCTGTCCTACTCAGGAACAAACAGATGATGATGATACAGAAGTTTTAGAATCTTTATAGCAAAGCTACATGTGATAACATCAATTAGTTCACATGGTGCCAACTTAGTCTACATATCTTCATCAACCCAATGTAATGATGTCAACATTCAAATCCATGTGAGTCTACATCATAAGGCAATCAGCTTGAGATCATAATAGGCAATGGAGCCAGAAGCTCATGACAGGATTCTAGACATGACAAGCCAATAATAGGAAGAAAAGAAAAGGAGGTAGTTTTAATGGTATTGTATTATCATTAAAATGAAAACAAACTTTGCAGCACATTCTGGAATCTGAAACACAATAAAATTGCCAAAGGATTCAGAGAAAACCTTCTCAATCGCAACATCATCTGGGATAACCACATGACATTTACACCCATATGCAGGAGCCACTGTGGCAAGGCTGATGGCAGTGCTTCCAGCGCTTCCTTCAGTAACTACTCCACCAGGAACCAACTCACCAGAACCTAAAGCCTGCAAATATGAATTCAAAGGTTTGGAACAACTAAAGTAGGAAGCAAAATAGTCATAAACAAAAAGAATCAGAAACCTAATAGTAAGAACTGTAAATCAGATAATGTATGGTTTATGAATACATTGTCAAGTATTGTACAGATGAGAGAATTAGGATAAAATTTTATTTGACAGTTACCATCTCTGCTAGGAAAATTGGCTAAGACCTATAACGAACCTAAGTCTGCAGTTGCCTTGTAACAACCCTGTTTTTCAATGACCCTTTCGTTTTTGGTAATAACCATGGTTAAACATTTTGTTCAACAATTTGTTGAGGCATAACCAATAAGCATCACTGTTATGATGGTAATAGTGGATTGAGATGCGACAGTGAAAACTTGTTGTCTTCCTGATAGAACTCACTAAGGATATATTGTCGAATGTTCCTGCTCATATGGTAGTTTATTAATCAGGCATAACAAGAGTATCATGCTTTCCTAATTTCCCTTCCAACTAGGCATAATAAGGGAATCGTGTTTTTTTTCTAATTACCCTATAAATTGCGGCGATAGGTTTCATCTATTTGTGATAGTTTATATATGTTGAATGTTCCAAACTTTCAGCATCAATTATACTTGTCTTGATCATTTATTAGTGTGCTCAATTGCCTCAATAACAGGAGGCTAAAGAATATATGAAAATGAGAAGTCTGTTGGTTAAAAGAAAAAAACTCCATAAGCTTCCTTGGGTTATAATTTCAACAGAAGCTCAAAATGAAACTACACCATCTGGCATTGAATATTCTTACAAGATGGAATTAAAAAAAAAAAAAAAAACAACAACAACGAAAAATTAAGGGGAGAAAAATGTTTAGTTCTTATATTGGGGGCCAATGGACACATTATAATGTGACAGGCACTTGTTCTCCGTGTCTCATGTAATGGAAATTGACCATATTGATGAACCTGGATGGTTCCATGTTTCATCTTGGGGTCCATGTTTCAAGTAACTTACGGATGATTGCACAGACGAAAATGATTCTTTGCAAATTTCATATCACGAGATTAATGCTAAGAACTTCTATGTGTTGGGATTCCCTTGTTCACAATTTTCTACTATTATTTCATCACAGTAACACTCTAAGCTCTTTATAGTTTATAGGTCGAAAAAAGTAGAGGAAAATTTCCCACCGAGAGAGAGAGAGAGAGAGAACTGCCTGAAAATTAATTAATATAAACTGTCTGAAAAGTGAACTTGGTAGTGCACCTCTTCAATGATTTTCACTGCTACTCTATCCTTCACGCTTCCCCCAGGGTTCAAAAACTCAGCTTTAGCGAGAATCTGGACAGCAAAAACATAGAAGATGTGCCAGAACAAATGTTATTCAAGAACCAAAGACAGAAGCAGAAGAAAGCCAATAAGTTAGAAGAAGAAAACAAGGGAAGCCCAGAGCTGAAAACCAAGTAAGATGGGAATGTTGAGGACTCAGGAAATTAAGAGCTTACTTCACAACCAGTAGCTTCAGAAAGGCTGTTGATTCTGATCAAAGGGGTGTTTCCAATGGCATCGATAAGACCATTTCCGATTTTCTTTGATAAAAGGCATCTTCGCATTCTTAGAAGTGGAAGCTTCGATCGATAGGTAGATAATAAGTAAGACAATAGGGCCATGGAGACCACGGCAATGACAGCACCTGAGGTTTTCGCAGGCGCCATCGTTGCTCCAATTGCGAAAAGCACCAATGAGCAGAGTAGTAGTAATGATTCGACATCGAGCTCGAAGCAGAACCGATATTTATTACACCTTAGAGCCGGTCTATTGTCGCGAAACGGTGTAAAGGCGCATATGTGCGGTGCAGATGAGAAATGATCAAATGAATAGGCGGGCATGGGGGTCAGTACTCAGTAGTAGGTCCCACTCCCATGGCATCCATGATCCATCGTCTTCGTCCATGGACCATGATCCGACTAAAACTAGAAGATTTCGACCTAACTCGGATCCGATGCGATGTTCCAACCGAACCGGACTCCTTGAAACTTGAAAACCCATCAATCAGCCAATCACCGTTTTATTTTTAAATCAGCCGATCACCGTTGGACATTGGTGATGCAGGCCCCACCAATGGCGTGAATCATGCTGTTCCATGTATTGCTGTGGCCCCACCACCACCACCATGACGTCCTTCCGTCGAAAGCATTGACCCTTGATTCGTCGTAGCAAAAAGCCAAAAATAATTTGTTGGTAAATATGTTTACTTTTTGGATCTTTTAACGGAATTAGGATTTTTTACTCACGAAGCATAACTCACATCAGCACGTTGTAGTCGTGCATTGAGAATATCTTTTCATCAATGATGATATCGATCATAACAGTTTAAGGATGTCCACGTTAAATGGCCACTCTTTAGGGTGGTGTTTGGCATCGATGTCTTTCCTTCAGAAAACGGTGATACATCAGCGTTATATCGTTTTTCTATAAAAAACGGTGTTCTAAACCAGACCTTGGAAATTGAAAAGGCATAGTTTGGGGAAATGCCAAATTTAACGATATTTTAATTTGGAATTCGTTGATGCCAACGAAAACATTATATAGCAATGATGTGGACTTCCTATAATAGGTACCAATGCGAAAACAATATGGAACACTGGTACCAAACAGAAGGTATTGTTACTTCAGGAAACATTCTACCTGGTAGTCCAACCCACACATATACAACACCGTTTTCTCAGCATCGATGCCAAATATATACTAGAAATCTTTCTCCTTTCTCCATTATTCCTCTCTAGCACAACTATCTCCTCGCTCCTGTTAATCCCCACTTTCTAATTACCTAAAAATCTTAATAAAACAATTCTATCTTAAAGTCTCCCTTCTTTAAAATGTCTCTTAAATCTTTCTAAACTGTCTCTCTAATTGATTCACATTTTCTCCCAAAATACTTTACAAAACCTCTTTATCCAAAACATTTTATTGGAGGGAGAAAACTTTAGTTCATTGATTTGGTAATGGAACGAACACCAATACACCAATATCCCAAATTACATCCCCCAACTCCAAATCAATGCAAAATTCAAAAGAAAAGCCCACCTTCTTCTATACACCATGTAAATTATAATATTATTATAAAAATTCAAAGAAAATGCACAAGTGTAATGTTGGACAAAATTACAGAAAGGGAAATTTTAAACAAAGTGAATTACATATATTAAGTCATTAATTACCTAATTAGTTAATGATAACAAAATTAAGTCATTAATTATATAATTCTTTAATTAGTTAACTTCAAAAATAAATAAGTTTTAACTTAATTTATTTCATTGACTTACTTAAAGTCATTATCTTAATTAATTAACTTCATGATTTTAATAAATTGAATTAATTACTTAGTTATTAGTTAACTTTGTGTATGCATGGTTATTTAATTAGTTACTTTTATTTAGTTAACTTACTTTTTTATTAATTAATTAAGTTAACAAATTTAGTTAAATTAGAAAATGATTATATACTTAAAAGTATTAATTAAATAATAAGATTATTATATAATTAGTTAACTAATTATAACTAATTACTAAAACTTATTTGATTAGTTAACTAATTAATTAATAGCACAAAAAATTAGTTAATTAATTAAGTTAATAATGTCATAAAATTTTAGATAAAAATAATATGAATTAATAAAATTTATTTAAATATTTTTTCTTCATACAAGTTTTACTTAAAAATAAAGTTAATACAAATTAATAAATATTTATTAATAACACAACCAAAAAGTACGAAAATTTTAGTTTCAAAAACTAAATCTTATATTTTGATATTCATTTAAATTTCACTCAAAAAATAAAATTGTACTACAACTTTGTTGATAAAATAAAAAAAAACGTAACAACATTATTAATTTTAAACTTAATTATTATAAATTTAAAATCCCCTATTCCATTTAAAATTAACAAAAGTTAATGCTAAATAAAAATTTAGTAAAAGTTAAAACAATTTAATAAAAATAAAAGCTAATACATTTAGGAGTGTCCCAATGCAACTTCTAGGGGTGCAACATATATGGGTGGTTTGGGTTGAGGGTCAACCCAAGCCCAACCCTAAGTCTCAAATTTCGAGCTCAGGCTTGGCGCAACTCAAGGTTAAGACCGATTTTAGTAACCTAGGCCCAACCCAAACTTAACCCAACTTCTCATGTTAGGTTTGGTTTTGGGTGTGTTTACCTTTGTAGCCCAATTTCCAATTAGAATAGATTGATAACATATATATATGTGTGTGTGTGTGTTGGGCGGGTTTAGGCTACCTGAGGCCTCAACTCAAGTCCAATGTAAGTTTAGGTTACACTTGAGATTTTTTGCCCAAATCTAACTTGAAGTTCTAAAACTCAAGCACAAAATGTTCAAAAGCATTGATTGAGCCAGGTTAGGCTTGGGTTGGACCCATCCAAAATGCACCCCTAGCTCCTTTTGTCTCAAATTCTTTTAATAAATGTCAGGCATTGCATGGTCCTGTTAGTTTAATAATAATACAAACACAACTTTTTTAAATTATAGTTAATAATTTATATATTGTTTTGAAAAGATTAACAATTAAGATAGTAAAACAAAGGGCAAATTTCTTAAATTACGCCTAAGTTTTAGGAAATTGACTATCTCTACCCCTATTGTTTACATATATCGTCTTAAAGTACCCTTAAGTTTTCTAACAATTAACTAAATCCTCCCCTACCGTTAGCATCTGTTATCATTTCATTATCATCCGTTCCATGTGACACCGCGTGACATATAGATTCTTTTTAAAACCCAATATTACCCAAGTTTCCCTCCTTTATTCTCCAAATTTTCAAAATAAAAACTCAACATCTTTCTCTTATTATGGAAGTGCAATGTCTTCTATCTCTAAAAGGCACCATCCCTTGTCATCACTGATTATTGGCATGGAGGTAGACGATGATCTCTTCCTCAAATTTTCAAAATAAGATCCAATTGCTGAAAACCTCAGAAACCCTATCCTTCCTCCACGCAAGCACCCGCAACAGAGATAAACTCTGACAAATTTCTCGGCGTTGCCTACATCATATAACACTCAAGAATTTTCAGGCTTCTGAGTTTTGCAATCAATTCCACCGAACTTACTTTTTGACAAATGAGCAAGAAATTTTTGTCGTCTTAACAGACACATTCAACATTTATTTTGTCTAGTTCAACGGTTCCTATCCATATCCCAACAAGACCACAGCAGAGGTCACTCGATTTGTAAATGGGTTGTTTGAATCAAGGAACGTCTCTTCACATTTAAGAATCACATCCGTGATCGACTTTTTTGTGCAATCAAAAGAGTTCTCAGCTCAAGATAACAAAGATCTCTATGCTGAAGAAGCAGCAACTCAGAGAGAGAGAGTCAGAGGATGCTTACTATCCTAGGGCTTATTGCTCCAAATTAGCTGCAAGATGAGATGGTGGATTCATAGTTGACAAGATGATCTATCAAAGTGTTTACCCTTGTGTCTTCCACCAAAATTTCCAGGGGTTCCTTATATCGATTACCAGATCGACATCCTTCAATTTAATTTTTCTTTTTCCCAAATTTTCTTGGTAGCAGTTTGGTGGATCGTGAAGGCACTGCCCACTGCAAGGGCTGTCTGTGTTGTTGTTTCTATGTGCAGGACAACAGTGTTGAAGTTGTAAGTAGTGGATAGCTTTCTTGGAATACATGCTAATGTAGAGATAAGCAAGCCTTTTCTGGTATACTAATCAATGTTTTAAAAATCGATCCAGAATCGGAATTGTACTGATCACCAGTTTCTGGGTTGATGGTTTGACCATCAGGTCCGAATGAATGGCCCATTTTGATAAAAAATTAAAAAAAATAAAAAAATAATTAAAATAAAAAAATGGCCAAAAACCATTGAATAGGTCAAGTGAGTCAACAATTCAATCGCCCGAGTCAATGGATCGTTGATCGATTCAATAGTTTTTTGTCAGGGACTGGGTTTAGAGTAAAACGGAACCCATTACCTGAACGGTTCCCGGGCCAAATGGTTCTACCGTCTGGGTCAACGGCAATTCAAAAAACCATGATAAGGGAGTTGCAGAAATGATTCTGTTTCTGCTAAAAGCTATATTTTATTTTGTGACTTGTGTCAATGGTTGTTTGCAATGGAAGCTTCCCTTCAACCTGTAAAAACACTTTCAACTCTTCACTCTTCTTCATCATTGAACGTGCTGCCAATCGAGTCAAATACTTCTCCAAGGCCATCCGCCTCTGTTCCACAAATTCTTGTTTATGCTTGATCTTCTGTATTCAGTGCAGCATTCGTGGCCAATAAAAGAGCAAATGGGTTGTTGGGAGTGTAGAGGTTGGTTTGGTATTCAGAGTTTTCTCCTTTGAGAAAATGGTGTAGATCGTTAAGGTGTTACTCAAATGTTTCATTTTAAAAATTTAAAGAAAAATGATGGATAAAATTGTCTTTTTCATCTTTTCGTTAATGTTACCAAAAAAGAGAATTTTTAGTCAATTATTAGAAAACCTAAGGATAGTTTAAGACAATATGTAAACAGTAGGGGTGTGTTAGTCAATTTCCTAAAATTTAGGGATAGTTTAAGAAATTTATAAATCACTATTATCATATGAAAAAAAAAAAATTCAAACGCAATATAGGAACAACTACTATTAATGACAAAGAAGTTCAAAATTTATTTTTGTTACATTAAATGATAAATATTGTTAATATAAAGTTTTAAAATTGACTAAAAAGAATCT